TTGTTAGAAAAAGAAGCAAAAATTAGCTTCTAAGGATGGTTTTAAACAAATTTAGAAAAAGCTTGGATATGTAATTTATTTCAATTTTTTTTAGAAATACTTCTAAAAGTTAATTTTTAAATTTTCTTCTTATAAAATTTTAAATTTATGAAAGAAATATTTACTCACTTTATAACAAGTGTTTTTTTTAAGGTTGGCCAAACTTCTTCACTTGTCATTAATCAATGAAGTTGATGTAGTTTCTTAGTCATTAATAAAATTTATAATATATATATATATATAAAGAGAATAATGAGTATCTATCAATAATATAAAAAATTAGATAAAAAATTATTTTAAAACTATACCATTTTAATAAAATCTTACAAAAAAAATTAAAACAACATCATTTTTACTTTAAAAATTAAAATATTTTAATATTTTTAAATAAAATTTTATTAAAATAACATAATTTTAAAATATTTTTAACCTAATTTTTAATAAAATAAACTGATATCCACTTTTCTATTATATATATATAGATATATACACACACATATACTCACAATACTAGAAAACCTCAAACCACTTACCCGTAATCATCGATGTGAGAAGTTTTCTCGGTAAACTAGCACTTTACCAACGAGATAAATGTCTGCAAAAAGAGGAACAGTAAAAATAAGAGTAGTCAATATTATTTTAAGTATAGACAAAATTTTTCTCGGTAAAATTGCTCCATACACACGTGCCCTTTGTCGATAATATGGTGCAATGTACACTCCAGCGTGACGTGGACCAATAAACAAATCACTGACAAGGACTTCATCAGTAAATTCACACTCCCCAACCATCCACCGTGAACCCAGCTGCTAATGGATGGGTTTGCAGCTTTTGGTGAATTGACCGACAAAGGCTTCGTCAGTAAATTGACAGTCCCCAACCCTCCCCGTAAATCCAACTGCTGATATCTGTGCTTGCAGCTTTTGGTACACTTGCTGACAATATTTTCGTCGATAATTGGAT